CGGTTTTGGTAAAGTGTTTTTTTTCGATAAATTATAGTCGTCGGACATTAACAATATTGTGGCTCGAATTCATTTGACATTTGTTTCCGTTATATAGTCATGCTCGATATACAAATGGAATATACACACACTTTGTGCATGCTAGGGATCCGCACAGGAATAAACCCAGAGGCAAAACATGAAATATTTCAAACTGAAAATGTAGAATTACAATGACTTATCATTTGTATAACTTTATTGATGTGTAAATTGGACAATTCACTCACAACCTTTGCAGAAAAGACATTTAGACTATTATTTGTTAAACTTGATGTTTAACTCAAACCAAAACAAATAAAGAAGAAAATTCATGTAAAATTTGTGAGTGAAAACTTCAAGCCGTGGATGCATCAATAAACTTCAGAACATGTCTTTAACCCTATAATACCACTCTATGTGATAAGTCTTTGCATCTCATATTCTGATGAACTTTTTCCTTAGTCAAGATGACGTCCGTTTTACAGGACACCGTTTTACTAGTCTGTACTGCTTATGGGTGACAGACAGTACCGTGTGTTATCATACGTTTAGATGCCAGCGTTTTGCTACAGGTATGACTTAAATTGTATTAATTGTGTAGTAACGAGGTAATAAATTATGCCAACAAACCAAAACTTAGAATGATAGTCACTCAGACAAAATTGTCCAAATAAGAGTTGTGTATGTCATTTGGTTCTGTTTTGGTTTTAATGCTCCGTAAGGTTTCACGTGTCTTTCTTTTCAATCAATTTATCATAACCAAAGCCGTTGAAATTTCTGTAAAAGCGTGTGGTGTGCACTAGAATCAGTTTCATACATTTATTTTACCACGAATCTGTTATGCCGGTTGTTTCCTGATCCTCCGCTTATTGTTCGGTGACAATTGTGAATAAAATATATGTCCTTTGGTAGCAATATACAGTTAGGAGTTTGGTTTCGCATTTTGTGCCCAGTGAGTTTTTCAAATATGTAAGTTATTGTACAATATAATAAGTTTTTAGATAGCTGAAGATAAATATAGCCTTCAGCGTGTGTTAATATGAACATCAAGATTGTTTTTTTACATGTCATAGGTCCAGAAATTATTGCAATATTTTCCTACAAATATTTTACGCTCGAACTTTTCAATTCAATTTTATGGAAAAATGAGGTGAAATACATATACTTTTTATTTGATTTCTTGATAGATAAATGTCAATGGTTTCAGAATAAGGTATCACTCGAATGGATTGAAATTCTACTTTTGACCTCATTTTGTGGAATTTGTGACATTTTTCTCCCCCGTTTTGCATTATTTTGTATCAATTAAATGCAGATTGTTGTCGTAGATCACAAGAAGGAGATTATATTTCACCATTCTAACTTCATGAACTATTGGAAATCAAATATATGGAGGATGCTGTTTCCATACATATGAACATACATGACACAAACAGTAAGTCTAACTTGTTAGAAAGCTAAGGAAAGATGGTTAAAAAATATGAGTGTCAATATGAAATTTATGTGTTGTTTTAATTTTTTACAGCACTAGGTCGTTTCTTCTGTTGGTGGACTATCAGTCCCCGAGGATATCATCAGCCCAGTAGTCAGTACTTCGGTGCTGACATGATTTACAACAAACCTTTCTAAAATTGTCCGTTAATAAATTTTGAAATTGTAGGAAACTAAGGTCTCAACTCCATCAGGCAAAGTTGACCTTATATGGATGTGGCTATCCTTTTTGGTTATATAGCTCTTCAACTGTTTCAGTTCTTATACATCCTTGGCTTTCAAATATTCGGCTTTGAGCGTTGCTGATGAAGGTAAATCCAGAAAAGCGCTTCGGACACATGAAATTTATAAAGTGTTGTTTTCATTTTTTAAGTTTTTTCCCTACCTGTGTATTGCTACCTTTATTTGCGGAGTATATGGTGTGTCATTTTGTAATTGTCATTGCATTGTCGTCTTAGCTTAACAGATCAGGGTTGCTGCTTACAAGGAAGCTATTAAACCAAAACTTTTGACTGTTGTTTGTCTTTTGGTCACCTTTCGGTTGTATTTGCCATGGTATCAGTTTGTCTTCGATTTTTGAGTTTGAATTTTGAATATCCCTTCGATATCTGTCGTCTTTAACAGCATTATTGCAGAGTACTAGAATAGTTATAATGTTCTGTCCTTAAAAAATATTAACTAATGGATTTATGGTTTTTTATAAAGTTTTTATTTTTAGGGGTGCATTTAAGGAAGCAGTTATATTTGTGAAAGCTACAGTAATGATTTGTAATAACGTATTCCCAAGTCATCTTTAGTGGACAGCAGTCTTATAAGAAAATATACTTCGTCTTCCTGCGTTTTATTTTACAGAATGGCTTCGTGTATTCATCAATAATAGATTTTATTCAAAATATTAAAGTTAGCTATTTTTACCCTCAGATTTTCGGCAAGCTGATACTAAAAAATATTGGAATTTATTTTTCCTTTCATGTAGACATAAGGCACATCATTTGCTGTCAGATTACATTTATAGTTGATGACTTCGTCCTCAAAATTCGAAGGAAGCCCATGCATCAATTAATACATCAACAGCAACGTTATGTTTCTAGACACATCATACTGGCTTCAATTTATATTAAGTCGACATTTTAGATTGTTGCATAAAGATACAAGGTTGTCCTGATGCCTGTCAAGAGAAATATATATTTAAACACCCGTAATTGTAACGTGAAAAAATTGTATCCTGCTATTTTTAAATTCAAAATGTTATTCTTATATCGGGATTTATTCTACGTTGTAATAGGTAAAATTAAGAACGATATAGTAAAATCCATAACGTAATTTTAATAACATTGTCAAATAAAAAAGGTACAAAATAAACGAGCAAGGTTTTTACTTATCCGAATTTAAAAAAAAGGCAAACGTAAAATAATTTGAATTTAAAGATCTAATGAAAATTATAAATATTTATGTGACTTAGAGCAAAGATGATGTTTTCTGATTCAATCGGAATTAAGACTCGAAGCTAACCATATGGAAAGCATCATCATTTTTGATGAATCCATAAAATCATGCTTGCATAAAACGATACAGTTGTAAACCACTCAATGAACTTGTTTAGTTTATTTTGTGAACAATTTACCATGACATTTCACACTTCCACTCAATCTCTGTGCTGAATCCGATTAACTTGCTTAAAAACGAAAAAAATATCAATAATGGTAAGAAGCTTAATTCCTCTCTTACAGGGATATTTAGGTATTTAACATTAAATGTTACGAGACAAACTTGGAAGACAAAGCAACACTTCAAAACTAATTATGATTGTAGGTGGAATTATTAAAATCAAGAAAGGCCTAACACTGAATTTAAAAACTGAACGGAACAGTATTATTGAATGGTACGATGACCATTTACTGTTTTAAATGTTAACATTATTAAGACTTTCGATACCATTCATTGTTCACTTTTGTTTCTGCAATTAAAATCTAATCTCCAACCAATTTCTCTGTATTTGTCCTGTGTTTTTAACCAAAGCATAATTATATTTATGTGCGTATTTCTTTGGCCATCAGATCATCGGACATTTTAATGCACTTCCTATACGAAATGTTCTTCCCAATTCACCCCCTAACAATAACAACTGTACGTTTTAATGTTTGATTGTTGAGGATATTTTTTAACTTGTTTAAAAGTCAATGAACACTGTAAGCGTTGTCCTTGCTCGTGAAAATGCATATGCTTAAAACCAAATTTTGGCCACCTAAATTTGACCTGTCATAAAAAATGCTCTGATTCAAGGCTGATTTTGATTTAACGACAGAAGAGGTTATATCGGCTTATCATTTGTGAACTTTTCATTTCTATGTGGCAATATTCAAGCACAGCCTGCTTATGGAATTCATATCACCCAGTTAATACGATATTCCAGCTAATGCATTTCATATCATGATTTCCCTGATAGAGGTTTGCTGCTTACAAAGAAGCTATTAAACCAAGGCTCCCATGCGATGAAATTGAAGTCATCCCTTCGAAAATTTTACTGATGCCTTCAAGTCAGGAATATGTCAGTTGTTTTCCATTCGTTTGAGCTTTTGATTTTGCCATTTGATAAGGGACTTCCCGATTTGAATTTTCCTTTGAGTTGGTTATTTTTGTTATTTTACTTTTCACAAATTGGTTGACCGCTATTGAATATTTGTTTAAAAGATGAGGATGGATACGTCCTAATTGTGGTAACCACATTCCAACCCTATTTTCCTCGAATGTGACATCACCGATGTGGACTAATCACCAAATTTGTACCTACATGAGCAACACGACGGATGCACATATTGAGCAGGATCTGCTCACTCTTCCGAAGAACTTAAGATAACATCCGGTTCTTGTAGCTCAGTATTTATTTTTCTATTCTGTATTTTGAAGACTATTGTTTGTCTTTTGATCGTTTATCACTTTTTCCGTTGCATTTTCTGTTTGTCTTCAACTTATGAGTTCGAATATCCTTGTGGTTTCTCTCTTTAGATAAAAACGTCGCTTCAATCGAATTGTCAGAGATTGAAGTTAAATTCATTATGTTAAATGAACATTGACAGAATTTCTCGAATGTTTCACCTTATTGTCTCGGTTTATGGATTGGAAAAAGGCAGAAGAGTCTCTGAAGTTTTGTAATCCTTTTTTTGAATCTCTCAATTGAAAACTCTGAATAAAAAACACCAGAAAAAAATTTGGTCTATATGTGATCAAGAGAATACGCTGCAAGGTTTTGAATCGATACGAATGGCATTTTTATATAACAATATTATGTGAAATTAATTTGCTCAGTATATTAACATATTTTTAGCACCGTATACACAGTGGAAAAAATAGGGAGCATTATGACATTTTTCAGTTAATTTGTCATTTGCTGCTACATGTAATAGAAACCGCTGGTCGTTTTAATTCAAATATCATCGTGCTCGTTTAGATAAGAATTCATTCATGTTTTCTTAGGGTAAACAAAATACACATATATTCCATCTGACTTTAATTTGTAAATAAAATAATTATCAGTATATTACTGTGATGTTACAAAGTATGAAAAAATACATACTCGTAATAAAATAACGGAAGTGAAGAATATATTTTGAAACTTTATACAAGCATGGAACAATACACATTACAAATTCACCAGAATGTTTTCACACTGCATTTCTATACAAAACATCAATTTTATTTTAACATTCATTCTGATTATTCCCATTCTTCTCAGATAATGACGTATCATTTATATATTGTTTTCATTGATTATGTAATTAAAATGAACCACTTAAAGAAAAATCTACGACTTTGGAATTTAGAAGTTTAAAGTTCAATGAAAACTTATGACTCAGCATCCTCGTCTGATTGATCAAAACTATAACAGGCTTATTTTGTTATTGCAATTTTAAATTCTTTCTTCTGCATCACATTTTTAACGAGTGTAAAAGTAATTAAACAGATTATAGAGAAAAGAGAAAACAATATTCATACTTGTCAAATAGAATTAACCATGACTTTATATGTCCATAATAATACAATTATTAATAGCCGTTTCAAGCAAGGCAATATATAGCAATTTCCTATTCAGCTGTGATCAATTATTTGTTTCCTACCGATGACTGCTATTTATTTATTTTATTTTTAATATTTGTTATCACCTTGAACTTTTTTACATAAACTAATCGGGGCAGATAAATTTCTAAATATATATAACTGAGATAATTTGTCCCTAGAGTAAATGAAAGTAAATTATTCAAGGAAAAGCTTCGAATAGTTTTATCAAGAATAAGTTCGCGTAACGGTGAATAACATTTCACCTTTTTGTAAATACTAGTAAATCAAACAGAAAACCTTTTGAATTACAGCTTTACAGGAGTAAATGATGTTTTTCCTTGAACAAAAAAGCAACCAACACTTAGAAAAATTTAATCAAATTAATTCTTGGACTAAGAGTCAGCAGCTGGACGATATCACTCCTTATCTTTATTAAAGCAAAAATGATCAGTATGTGAGCGTGATTAAAACTGTGAACGTGCTCTTTTCTAATTTATATAACTTTGTTCTAAATGAAATTAATATTGTATAAACTGAATCTAATTAACATCATTGAAACTGATTCCCGCGTTTGTTGTACGACAATGTTATTGTATTTTGTATTCAGCACATAATTACTCACCAAAAACAACAGAACATATTTATATCATTATTTCGCATTTCATTCTATGACAGACAAGTGTCTTTAGCATTATTGATAAATCAATGCAATAACCATGTTGTAATATAGTGCTAAATATTTTTGTTCATTTCAAATAAATGACGTTTTCAAATCTGGTTGTCACAATTTCATTCGTTTCATGAAAACCGTGAGGATATTGTGAGCTTTCATTTTAAAACCAAAATTTACTTTTAATTTAATGTATCGTGTGTTATATTCTGAAATGTACATTTTATATTTTGCATTATATTACAAATATAGATTGAACTGTTCCTTTCTTAGTAAAATATATCTTTGTAATTATCATTAACAACATTAATAAACATTTTCCAAACACATTCTGTCAACCAATTACATACAATCATTCCGTTAACTTGTGCCATTCAGCAATCTGTTTTCTTGGACAATTCATTACTTCGTTCCAATGATGGATTTCTTGTGAACTGGCTTTGGACCCTATCTCCAGACGTCCAACGACTTCATTTTTGGTCATCCTATCCCAATCTAAGACAAGGAACTCTAGACTAATATTTGCCAATCCTTCATTGTAAGGGACGTCAAACAAAAACGATTCATTATACACAGGGTTCAGTGTTCTCTTCTTGACATGTGTCTTCTTTTTAGCAATTCTTTGGTTATTGTAAAGTAAGTATACTTTTATATAAGGATCTACAAAAAAGAAGGATAAGAAAATATAAACAACTATAATTGACTGTATTTTGTAAAAATAAAGACTTAATACGAAAAGCCATTTCCGTTGCTTTTGATAAGTACATAAAAAACTAAACTAGGGAACAGAAAAGTGGATCATATTCTCAAATGCATACCTTTGTTGACTGCAAAGAAATGTTTTGATTATATTTACGTACAGCAAGATTGAAAATGCAAAAAAAAAGCTATCGACGCTCTCTCTTATTTTGGCGTTCGGGCGATTTCCTTAGTTTTTGTTTGTTACCTTGAATTGTTTTCTTAATTGATTTATGAGATTTTAACATCGGTTATAAAATCGCTACTGTCGCCTTAATTTGGAAGTTACTGTGTATGCATCCATTAGGAGGTTGCACACTGTCATCATATTAAAACAACAAATAACCATTCGGAATTTGGCATGTTGCAAAGCGTTAGAACTGTAAAATTCACATCTTATTGTTCCATCATAATTCCGTTTTACTTAAGATTTTTTATACTTGTTATAACTTTTGTTGTTAACTAATTCTGCTTCGAGTGCAATGAAGTTTGCCTAACAGTTTAAGATGTTCCGATTTGAACACTTTAACACAATACAGACAAATGACTCGGACACTTGAAATCCGCTTAAACAATGACTTTTAAATCAATCTTCTCTTCTTGAAGAGTATACATGCGTGTAACACGATGATGATACTTAGTCTACAGTGTGTTGAAAAGTTATGATTTGTGGTGGAGTGACGGGTAGACAGATATATATATACACTATGTAAACACAGTGTGGTTACTTAATTCCCCTCCCTGACATTGTTGAAATAATATGTATGTCAATACTCTTCATAAATTACTAGCATTTAACTTTGATACCAAATTGAGAAAACAATTCAATAGTTCACTCGATGGAAAAGTGTTTAATTTCCTGTGTTTCTATTTAGGTACCAGATGGACCATTCTAGCACTGTAATTGACGTGTTTATTACAACCAGATTACGTTTTGATATGATATTTCCCCAGTAAAGGATAAAATTGTCCATATATGGTATCATTTGTCAATTAATGGAATAAATCTGGAGACTGCCTGTAAGAACATTTTCATATAAAATCTAAGCTGTATTGATTTGCCGTTTCACTATGACTTCTAGTCAGTAATTCAGTCTGTATAAATCATTTCATAAAATTCCAAATTGTCCAAGACATTATTGATTGTAGGCACAACTATATTTCAGTTATATGGATACATATGTATTTATTGAATAACAGAAAAAAAAACAAACAACACTAATTTTCCGTCTCAAATATTACAAGATATTTTATAACAATTATACTAAATTCGACGAATGTTTATAACACGACAGTAGGTGCATATCTAAATAAATTCCCTTTGTTATTTTGGTTATATTGATTAGTATCTGCTTAATGTATTTAAAACAAGAATGTGTCCATAGTACACGGATGCCCCACTCGCACTATCATTTTCTATGTTCAGTGGACCGTTAAATTAGAAAGATCATATCATAGGGAACATGTGTACTAAGTTTCAAGTTGATTGGACTTCAACTTCATCAAAAACTACCTTGTGCAAAAACATTAACCAAAAACTTTAACCAAAAAATTTAATCTGAAGCGGGACAGACGGACGAACGAACGGACGGACGAACGAACGGACGCACAGACCGAAATTAAGCTTCGGTAACTACTGTTTTCACATTTAGATAATTATGTAGCGGTAGTTTAAGTGTATTAAAAATAATCTGAAGGACTCTTTAGTTTGTGTATGCCTTACAACTGAATTGTGAGGAGTGAGCTGGTATTTTCATATCTAATTAAATCAGATTTGCTACAATTTGTGGGAAAAGTATTCAGAAATGTTCACATTATACAAGTTGTCTTTCCATTCGAAAACAAAATTCAGATGCCATCAAAATTTGAAAATGCAGATGCGGCTACTTAAATCAACGAAAAACATTTTAATTTCCTATTCTTTTTACCTGACAATCCTGTTATGTCCATTTTTGGTAAATTTCTTGCTTTCAGCACTACTACTGTCAGTCTATTAGCCGCTGGCTGATAACATAACGACACCAGTATTTCTCCTCTCCCCTGAGTTTTCAACTACAAAATAAATAAATATGCAATATCAGTCTATGTCAGTCTATGATACATGATACACGATTCAGCCAGACTGACAGTATAATATCAGCTTTGTCATTAATAATTGAATAAACAACTGTTATACTATACTATATGTATTCCTGTCTTTCAGGTAACATGACATATATGGTCGTTACATAATTGATTTCCATTAATTGATTGGATAGTTTTATCTAACCGTATCCTCGGGTAACAAAATAGCAACTATAACCTTGACCGTTTTTTTTTTAAATTTAGCACTTCAGGAATAAATACCATATATATATATATATATATGTATGTTTTGTATACTTGTGTTTGTCTTTTCAAAATACAAAAGACTTTTGGTAGTTTTTCGTTTTTTTGCCATGGCATTGTAAGTTTGTTGTTTACTTATGTATGAGTTTAAATATCCCTTTGATATATTTCGCCCTCATGAAGAGGAATTTAACAAATCTATTTTTCAACATGTACATGTTTGCATCGATCTTTTTTGTACGCTGATCACAAGCAATGTTAATAAATCTGCATGATGATAATTCTTATCAGATACAGAAACCCGACAATAAATATGACAATACATGACTTCATCAGAATCTATTAAGATATCATGTTCCTGGATCATTAAAACGAATGGTGTTCAAATATACAATTAATACCAGTATATGAAATTATAAATCGACATGTTCAATCAAGGGTTGAATTGCAGCGTATTATTATCAAGATTTTTATCCATTACAGGATTATGCTTGTTATATAATTCCTGAATATATACTCAAACAAAGTTATATGAATAAGACATCAATTCATATCTTTCAAGGCAATTATAATGGAATGTTATTAACTGAAAAATGAATCTTAAAACGGAAAGGTTAAAGCTATTCATTTAAACAATACAACGTCTCTTTTAGTGACATATTACATGAAATATTGTATTGACTGTTCCGTACACAGCTATTACATCGTAATGTTATTGCTTTTTCTGATGGATGGCTGTGTTTACAGTAATGGGTATTGATGAAGATTCCTACTTTCACAGGAAATAGACTTCCAATATATAATGTAATATTGGTATCCAAATAGACATTTTTACTACAGCTTTTGTTTCGACAAATTGAGAAAAACAAATCAATGCAATAACATTTGTTGAAGGTAAGAAAATAAGTGGAATGTGGGTCAGATCACTTTGTGATAACAATTACGAAGAAATGCAAATTCATTTCGTAGGAAAGTTAGCTTTTATGTACTCTAACAAATGTCTCTTTTACAACTACTACATGATTAGAGGAGGAAACTTGTCTCAATTAATCATACCATTAATGCAAACACCTTACATGTTAAAAACTGACTGACAGAAATATCTTTCAAATGCCACAGGATCGTTTTGAAACCGCATATTGTGTAAATTTTTAAATAGGGAAAACGACCTCTAAATAATGACATGTAAACTTTAAAAGAATATCTGCCTAATTTGTTTTAAGTCTTTGAATTATTATCTATAGGATCCAATGTAATATAAAACCACTATGTAAGCTAAATGCTTGTGGGAATGACTGATTTTTTAGCATACGGTCTTCCTGTCTACGTGTTGCATTGAAAAGCAAGTACGCATTATTTCGAAACTTGCAAGCTGTGACCATGTCAATACTGATAAAAGCACTGCTTGATCAAATGCAGCACTGATAATTGGTTTATCATCGATTTACCCGAAAGAAAACCCCATCTCCATAATGATATTGATTTGATATCATGTAGGATGGAATTATGAAAAAACAAACACTAGCTCTGCGATTCTTTACAATCTATGACAAACCTCAGTAACATCCAGACCAAATCGATTAAACTGTAAATCATTTTTTTTTAATAAAAACAGAAAAGTTGATAATAAAATCCGATAGATTACCGTGGTTATAATCAAAGTCCACTCCTTATGATAACATACAAGGTGAATTTTATAGCAGATTCTTTAATGAAAAAATTTCAGGTATTCTGTCGGATCAATATATTAGAATTTCTGATGATACAGTACCAAGACAGAATGTCTCTGTCTAAGATATTTTTTTCTGTTTTGTATTCTTTCAGTTTCCAACTTCTTAAAGTAAAAGCGTATACTTAATATTTATACTTGTCAACACAACCGTAGTAGATTGCTTATTGTTTCTTTCAAATTGTGTTTTGTAGCTGAATTTTTAGTTCTTTTACTTTTACCAATTTTCAAATAATTTTGCTTTTCTCCGTTTTCACGTTTTCAAAATCGGACAGAAGGTTGGCATGCATTAATTAATGGCACGCATATTTCAATGCACATTGTTCAATGCTTCTCAACAAGATCTCTACATAATTTCCTAAATGCCATTTACCCACGCATAATAAATGTGAAAAATTCAATTTGTTTCTGGAAGCCCCAAATCAGACTGGCAGTCTGTATAATGCTACATCGCTATTAATCATGTCATATACTTAATAGGATTGTTCATATTCGATACCATGTTCACTTTCCTTTCTGTGACGTGATTGCTCAAGACGTACCGTTATGGTATAAATACTATTTTTAGGTGTTAAGGCCTTATTTAACTGCATAAGCCTTCATTTAGTGACATTGCCTTTATTTTACATTCTGAAATATATGTTTGCTCAGGCTATACCATATACCCTAGGATATACAATTTCGTAATGTTTTGCGACGTTGTTACATATAGTTAATGAAAAGAGACATTTATTGTCGAAATATGCATCTGGTGCTATAAACTTGGTAACGCTATTGTTATGATCACAAACTTTTTGACGTCATCCGGAAATATATACTGATTTAAGAAATACGGAGAGAGAATCTTTCAAAAAAGATGCATAACTATTTGCAATAATTCCACTTTCAGTTTTATTTTCTATAATGAACGCAGTTAGATGTATTACTTGTGAGAAAAGATTGTTTATTTATTAACTGAATCAGCGTTGAACTATCTTCAAGTATTAGACCGGTTCTTTGTGATTATTTTTGTGTTGCGTGCCCAAATTAGGATCCTGGAATTAAAACAAAATCGCAAAGTATTAAATATTTCAATGAAGAATTATCAAGATATATAGCTTTACATCTGTCTATCATAAAACACAAAAATGTCAAAAACTATAAAAGTTTTCAAAAAATCGCACTTTGTTGGTCTCAAATGGGGTAAAATCAGTCAATTTATGACAAATTGAAAAATCTTATCCAAGACTAGTAAACATAAAAAATCGTATCTATTTCTTAGATTTTTCAAAATTTCACAGTTTGTAGACAGTGAGCAATATTAATGGTTATAAGAAATTAAATTTTTAGAAGGAATATTGTTATGAAAGGTATGTTATATGAACTTTGCAATTGCCAAAAAATATGGTGATTTTACACAGTGTTTGCTTCAACGTTTGAGAGTTGACGGATCTTTGCAGGATTAATTTATATATAAAGTATAAAAAATATTATACATGAAATACTCTGCAATATTTTTGCAAATACTTACACAATAAGCTTCTCATTGAACTCTGCAAAATAAAAACTCATCAAAGATACCAGGCTTATAATTTTGGACGCCAGACGCGCGTTTCGTCTACAAGTGATTCATCAATGACGCTCGAATAAAAATAGTTAAAATGGCCAAATCAAGTACTAAGACTAGGCATTGAAGACCCGTAATTTCTGAAAGGTTTTGCTAAATACAGCTAAGAATCTCTATTCCTAGGTGTAAAAAATCTCTAGATTTTCGAAACGTTCAAAGTTTTGTAAACTATTAATTAATTAATATGACCATATTAATGATATGTCATGTCAACAGAGAGTTGACGACTACTGGACTGGTGATACTCTCGGAGAGGAAGTGGCATCGACCCAGTGATTGTAAAAAAATCGTCAAAAATACCAGGCTTACAATTGTGTACGCCAGATGCAACTACAAAAGACTCATCCGTTAAGCTCGAATAAAAAAAGTGCAAATTGCTCTGAAAGACAATTTGGAAAGATATTTAAAATTTTACATTTGTTTGTAAATTTTTGCTTTTAAGGACATTCCGAACGAAATGAATTTATTACAATAATAATATGTGAGATTGAAAACATACTTGTATCAAACTTTGCCAAAATCTTTCGAATTGCAGAATCAAGTCACTTTAGGCATTTACAATTAGATTTACAGAAATATCACATGTTTTCAGAACTTATATAACAAACATAAAGCTATGAGAAAAAATTCAATGACTTAATGAAATTTGACGTACATGGTAGCGGAAAGCCGTACGATGACCTTATCTGTTTTCATTTGATAAAATGATTGCAGGGTAGACACGACAGTCTTTTAAAGAATGTGACTTCCACTACAATGGTCTACTTTTAGGTGCAATACTATGCCACTTGGAAAATGTAAAGAATGTAACAAGTTGTCGTCACGTAAAACATATACAAAAATTCACATGCCTCGTACAATGATAAATGATGAATACGTAGGAAATATTTGATATAAATATGCGGATTCGAAAGACTTTGTCCTGTTACAATACCAATTAGCTATTATGTTTGAAGCAAGTGCAGTGTAAAAAAAACATATCCTACCAACAGATTTCAGTGATTGCCTTCTGTTTTGAGAAACATTAACTGATTTTGCTGTAAAATTGTTTACCTTATATATCATTACTTCATTTATTACAATAGAAAATATATTCAAATTATAAGAACACAATAACTTTTTGTCAGATAAAAAAGCAATAATTCATTGTTCAACAAAACAATGTTTAGAACTAGTTACAAATAAAATGTAATTATAACAGACATTTTCATTTCCAATTCAAACTGTTTTTAAACTTGTGTTCCTGAATAGCAGGTGTTAAAAAATGTTCATTTACACAAAACTGACAGTCAATACCTGGAAAAGGATGGTATGTTTATAATTGATCAGTTTGTAGCTGAAAAACTGCAACTTGGTTAAACATTCTCGCCAGTTGACATGCGCTGTAAACATTTACCTCATTCTTTTCACATTTAGCTAAAAAATCGTATTGATCTTTTTAATTGATTCCAATAAAAATGTAAATTAAATATAATCGAAAACAAAATATAGCGTGACCTTTACCCACTTACTCTTGTGAAAGGTCATTCTCTATTTGTTTGCGTGGACTTTTCATTTTCCTATTTTTTTATCACTCATTTCTTATCTTCTTGTAACAACTGAAGAGCCATTTTGGTCAGAAATTAATGATCAGTAACAACCGTCTACAAAAATGTTTCATGATTATCTAGTAAAGAAGATGAATAAAAGTCCCGGAAACGACCAGGAAATGCAATAATAAAAATTCATTATTGTCGTATGTTTTATTTGACGCCTACCACTCGTTTCAAGTCATAAATGTGTCTGACGCATTGCTAATGAATCTAAAAATCAGACTTGGGATATTCTATGAATAAAATGAACTGAACGAATTTTTGTACCAGTAAAGGTATATACAGTTTTTTTTTTAATTTTAAATGAAAAAATAACGGATAGTTATGACAATTATTATTACTGTTCTTATTGGTCAAAAGTCATACAACATATATAACAGTTAGCAAAAGTATAATGTTGCCCTTTTTAAAATTAATATGAGAAAATGGAGTCATTATCGTTATACAAATGAACGTGAATCCCTGAAGGTGCATAACTGAAATCATTTAATATAATATTTTTGTCTGTACACCGAATTATACAATTGATTCCCTGTCTTTATGAGATACACTTGCAAAAACGGTTTGATATTTGTAGGAAATATCAACATTTGGAGCATGGAATGTGAATTTTACATTATTAACGATTGTCACCGTTTGATCTGCTCGAGTACAATTTATAAAGGTATTTCATTTAAAAACTTGGGATAGAATAATAAATAACCAATTATAACAAACAATTAAAGTAAAATCCAGATAACAGATAAAATAGTATTCACTTTCAAGGATTCCGTTACAAATTTAAAACATTTTCACTACTAGAAAAAAATCACTTCTTGCATGCTTGACGAATACCTTAGGGATATTGTCTTCAAAAATAATAAACGACTCTATTAACATCATCAACACCCTTCAGCAAAGCTATCGCTGCTTAGAAATATCCAATAGCTTAAAATGATGTCTTTAAATCTGTGTTTTTGATAACCGTAAAGGGAAGAAACAGAATTGACGGGTGGAAACAAAATAGACAACTAAAATTGCAATCACAAGCTACTTAAATGTGTTTACCATAAGGTTTTATGTAAAACAATTCCTATGTTTTCATAATAACATGGCCATTTTTGGAATTTATAAACTACTGTCTGCAGATCTACACTTGACAGGCAACATTTCTGTAAAGTTTCATATGGTTTGGTGTAATTATACAAAGATATTTTTTTATTCCTCCTTTTGCAGTTCCTGTGTTAACCGTGGTCGTTTGAGACATTTCTATAAAGTTTAATTATACTTGTTTTAGTAATCTTTGAGAAATTGAGCGGTCAAATAATTGGAAGAATAATTATAAATGATAAGAATAATAACAAAGAAACGGAGAAATATCAATATGTTACTTAGAATAAGTAGGATCTAAATTTCAATATTTATGGTCGATGAATCCTTTTTGCAAAACATATTTCTTCTATCTGTGAAAGCAAAAAGGTTCAAGGTTACTCGAGAAACAAAATATTAATCAAACTTACCGTCAAGTGACGTGGACAAATTTCTTTGCAGAGATTCATTTCATTCTTAGAGATATCAAATTCGTTCAATGGATGTATAACTTCACCGATAATATCATCTCGCGAGAATCTGTCAAAACTCAGCACTACAAAGTGAAGGGTGATATCAGCAATCTGATTGGGATTGATTCCGTAAAATGTGAATGTCTCGTCATATTGGGGGTTCAATGTCTTTCTCAAGACTCTTGTTTTACATTTGTGTCGCTTTTCTGGTAGAAGCTGTAGTTTTATGTAAGGGTCACATCCACCTAAACTAGGGTCACGTGTTGGCAGGTCCTTGACGTTGACTACCGTCACCAACAGCGCCATCTTTTGTAAATCATATGCAATGGAAAATGCCATGTTTCCTAAAGATCTCTGTTTTTCGTCTGGCTGCTTTTCACGCATACTCTCTTCTTTTTCGTGGATCATTTCTGGCTTATTATCTTTCTCATTTTCAATATAAGCTTGGTCTGGCGATCTCTGCTTGCTTCCGGGATCTTTTTCAGAATGAGTTGAATAGGTTGGTGATAATTTTCTTTCCCCCGGAGATGTATCCTGTCTAGTATGACCTAATGGACTTGTTGCTTTGTGTTTAATTGGCGTTCCAAGTGGTGGGATGTTCTTTTTAACACCGGAACTCTCTTTAAGACCCTTTTTAATGGCAGTTGAAAGGCGACTTTGTGCTAGACGACTTCGGCGTCTTCGATAACACTTGTAGGTGACCACAGAAAGAAATAAAAGACATCCTATCACTCCAAGGCATATGGCTGTGATTCCGTATGCATTTATAGTGTGTACTGAAAATATAATGAAGCAAAACATTACTGTTTCATCATTATCATTTATTTCATCAGAAAAGAAAGGAAAATTATTTTATGAATAATGGTACAAGTAGAAAACTGTATTGCAAGTGCACTGAAAAAAATTAAACAAGAAAGAAAGCTAAAACGTTGATATTCTCTAATGCTTTTTTGTGATTGACATTTAATGTTATAAAATAAGTTTTCTGTAAATATTTTAACATTTGGATTCTTCGACACTTTATCCTTTAAACAAACGTCCCTCATTTTTAACGTAGATAGATCGTACCATAAAAAAGGACAAGGGTACATGTAAATATCTTGGCTAAGTATGGAAGTTTATACTCGATATAAATATGAAACCCGAATATTTTAAATACATGATTTTTCGATTGGCAATATATTGGTATTCATAGTGGGCGTGTTTTTCAACAGATAGTTAGCATTCATATTGGAACCTACTGTGCTCCTCTTCGTATCGTTTTTTTCATTTATTCATATGAGGTCCACTTCATTCGGGACCTCACAAAATGAATGATGTGAAGCTAGCATGATCTTTTCGGTCAATAATAGCTTATACATTATGTCCTTCTATCTATTTCAAATGTTGACAACCCATACAAATTTTATATCAATAAAAAGGAAATTTCAGTGGCAATACATTTCAATTTAGAATAATAATATTTGACTGGGTTTCAAGAAATAGTATGTTTTAGTCAAATAATTTTACTCTTTTTCGGGGGGAATAGTACACGTATCGTTTACCTTAAATTTTAGCCGTGGACATAAACGTGTTATATGTTTTAGATACATGCATAACTTACAATGTTATATCACTAGTATTAAAGTGAGTTTAAATGTACCGAAAAGTACTGTTCTGGAAAAATTATTATGGCATCGTTTAATATTAATATGTATTACTAATTTGTCAACCGAGTGAAAATCTATAATTCTTCATTTTATCAAATGATATATACATGTACGATGCAATAGTTTATCAAATACCGCAAATATTCTATGATTTAAATTAATCTAAACATTGCATTTATACGATGAAATAATTTTTTCAGGGTACATCATGTTTTGGTACTATTGCGTGAGCATTCATAAATATAAAAAGATGCAATGGAAAGATACCAAGGGGACAACCCAAAGCCATAAGAAGAATAATAACAGACGATGTCATGGCCAAAACGAATAACGACGAAAAGACAAACCGTTGTTTACAAAACACTACACAGAAGGCTAAAAACTGGGCCATTTGACCCTCCCCTCTGAACACCCCCACCCAAAGCGGGTGTGATATCGGTTGATCCGACAAAGAAAGCATATCCTGCTCTACTCTCAACCTAAGGGCAACCTTTGTCTTCTCAATACGAATTTAAAGAAACGACGTGTCAGCCCGAAAACACACGCACTCATAAAGAATACTTGCGGTATTTGATAAAAATTCCACCATATAGTGTTATAATCAAAATGTCCAGTACTAAATCATCATTACCCATAGTTTAAACACACAAATACCATGGGGGAAATGAAAGACAAAAAAGATAGATAGAAGGAAACTACCATCTGAGATACAAATAGTTTACCAATTAGCTGACTTTAACTTTTCAGATCTACTGGTTTCAATCCCAATATACTCAATTGATTAGTGATACTACATGTAAATATATAGAGTTTACACGAAACAAACCTCGAAAGCAATATCAACGTTGAGTTAAAGAAATGTAATTTAACTAAAATACAAGCTTGCTGTTCGGTGTGAGCCAAGGCTCCGTGTTGAAGGCCGCACTTTGACCTATAATGGTTTACTTTTACAAATTGTGACTTAAATGGAGAGTTGTCTCATTGGCACTCATACCACATCTTCTTATATCTATTAAACTTTCCATACCTATAGGGAATTGTTTAAATTTACATAATTAGCTTTTTTCAATTTTATTTTATTGTATTTCATAGACAGGTGGTGTTTATATACATAATTATCATATTTTCTTTATTCTTTGCAGAATTTAAATATATATATCTTAACCCTAGACAAGTCAAACAGTACACAGAGAGAAATCTAACAAGGCAACACCTACTGTAGAGAACTAGCATGGGAAATTTGATCAGTAAGAGAGGGAAATAAAAAGAAGTCAGTGGTATAATCTAGCCAGAAAAAAATGTTCTATTCGAATTCAAATTAATATGATATGACAATTTCTGACAAATATATATGCTTGGCATCGATTCATTTAGAAAAAAATCTTTGGTACGGATAAGAGTGCATTAGGTCTACTTCCGAAATGTTAGGAAATAAAAAAAGATTCAAAAAAACCCAAACGAATGTGTATTTATAAGCAAGAATAGATGTGCGTATTGTAATTCTAAAACTAGAGTTGTTTTGGTTAACCTTTCTTCACTAATGTATGCAGATTTAGATCTTGCATCTACTTCGTTTTTAAAATACCACAGTGCATTTAATGTAGTGTATGTATATTTATCATTTAAACGCTTCATCAATTTCACCCCAAAATGTTATGAAATTGCATTAAAAACGTGGACCAAATGTTTAAAAAGACATTAATACAAAAATCCCGGCGGACATAAAATAAACGTTAAACAGAATACATGTCTAACCTGTATTCAAAGATGGATGTGATTGTTATTTTATTTTATATCATTCTTGATCAAAAAATAAATGGCAACGGCAAGTCATAAAATCTAGTATCAGATCGACAGTCAAAAGCAATTCATAAGCAAATAAAACAAACCGAAATGTACATGTTTAAGCAATTTTGATCTCAGACACGAAGGATTGAACAGTTACTATTCCGTGTCAACAGACATATTTCTAATGACGAAAGCCCGAATAAACACAGAAGTACAGGTTCACGACAACAGTAAGTCGTTTACACATATTACAGACAGTTCCGTTTAGGTCCTGCGACGAACATGTAATTTTACGAGAGAAGAAGCTAATTTGATGTTGCAGTTTTCGGGAGTTGCTTTCTTAAAAGCCAAACACTTTATCCATACAAAAAGGTATGAAACACAAGATCAGTTGTGTTGGATAATAATTTATAGGATAATTCCCTTGTTGGAAATAAAAATTAAAAAAAAAACCTACGTCAAAAAAATAACCGCTAATGTAAATAAACTTGAAGCCGTTTCAAAAGCTGTAATTTGATAAAAGATAACAACCTATATTCGTACTGCCATGTATTTGTTTGTTTGCTTTTCAATTTACATATCTATTTTTTGCTTGTTTAATTCATTTTTTTTTATTTGATGGCGTCAACATTTGAACAAACATCAGTATACTACGTCGGTGTTTACATTTCTACCTTTATTACAATTTGAGTGCTAAACCTGACATTTATTTAAATGCCAGACAAGTCAGAAAGTACAATTTAATCAATAAGACGACCAGAATTCCCTAGATAGCTAAAAGTGGTTACTAATGTTTTCTTGAAAGGCAGACTTAAAACAACATGTTTGCTTCGTGGAAAATGTGCATTGTCGACAAGGAAATATCCAGTTGAAATGTAAGAATATGTTGACGCTGCCATGAACAAAATTTTGGCATTTTGGGTTAAATGGGTTTTTTTTTTTTTTTAAATTTTAAAAGACCAACGGATTTCTTTTTTTATCGGCAGAACAATCATGCATGCACTTTTATATGAAATGTTTCACTTTTAGTTACACGTTTTAAGATGCCAGGATGCTCACCAGGATGTGAATAAAATGAGATAGGTCCAGCAAACCTAGACAGGACAGCAAAGAAACAATACAGAAAATTTGTTTTAGAGAGTTTAATTTTTATTTTTCTAAACAATACACTGCGTTTTTTAAACATACTTTCTCTTTCTTCTGTTATTTAATGTTGTCTTTTGCACGAGTCTTGAAATGAATAAATACATGGTAATATGGTGTAAACATACACCAAGGAGTCAATCCAACTACACAAACATGATCATACAATAACAAAAAAGACGGTATTTGTTGTTTTTACATTAGAACTATTTATGACATCAAATTCGTCCAACACATACATTTTGTGCTTCAAATTGCATGATTTTAAAAACTGATAATGACATTATCCCAAAAAATCAAGGACAAAGATCACGTTAAAATTGTTTTTGGCTTCAATTAACATGTCGTGTTCCAATCGCGACAACAGCAGCACATTAAATACTTGCGCAACGTGTAATTGGAATTATTTCATGATTATTTTTTTTTTAAAGTTAATTGATATGTACTGTAATTTTTCAGCTTAATGCCAGAAAGTACAAAGTTACTATCAAAGTAATGAAGTAATATTGATGCGAAAATCAATCGAAAAATGGAATGTAAATACTATTTAATCAGAAGAAGGCGTCTTTCAAAAGAATATTCTTGTAATTAAAATCAGCCCTACCTACTAAAGATCGACTTGCGTTCATTTCGTCTGACTTGATAGCTCTCCCGGATTTAAAGGCATTTCAATTTCAATCAGCTTTAAAATTCGTACTGCAACAATGTTATAAAGCCAGAGAATTTTTAAATATGACGTGACGGTTTATTTTCATACAATAAGCAAGTATGAAATGGTTTAGAAGATGTAAGCTGCTGAATTTTAAGCTTAATTAGAATAATGTTTTTCTTTTGTGAAAAAATAACTTAATCATAGAACGTCAACCTTATTTTAAAGGATAATTTTAATATTTACGCCATTTGAAATTTCTATCGCCAATGGAATTAAAAGTAAAATTAATAATGTGAAAATTCCATTAAAAATCGAGATTTTCCTGTTCACATTTTTTTGAGAAATATTGCAATACACAAAAAAAAAAAAAGATGTAGCAACACGATGTTCCCAATGATTTGGGGGCGAATTCAGGTACTGTATTTGTAATTAATCTTCACCTCAAATATAGAAGATCGAGGAAATCCTCATTTAAACCATAACCATATAAAATCACACAATACTGTACATGTAACTATAAAACATACTGCTCAGAGGAATAAGC